TCGTCCCCAGTCACTCCTTCAGGGGCCCGGGACCGGCATGGTGGGAAGCAGGGAGAGAGACCGGTGAACGTCCATTCGCAGATCTCCTCCCCACTGAACGGAGGCGGACGCGACGTTGATTGCATCACTTCCAGTTTCCGAATGGTCATTCCCTGGCCATTCCCTGGCCAGAGAAGCCGAGGAAGAAGCTGATCTCAAGTACTGTACTTGGGCTGCAAAGGTGACACTAGGGGGTCCAATAGCCCCCCGAATGTCTCCTTAAAGAGAACCTGTCACCTCCAATGTGCTATCACATACAGGGCTTGTGAGCGCAGTAATTCTGGGGCCAATATTCCCGGACATCTCTAAACCGATGACCTATATGGGCTTGTAAAGCATCTCCTATGATCAGTTTGGGGGTCCTGCCTGTAACTGTCATGGGACTTGTAGTTCCCCAACAGCCAGAGTTGACGCCCCCCCCCAGTGCAGTGCAATTGGCCTTGTTCTTCTTGGGGGGAGGATTTGGCACAGAACTGGTCTATCCCCACCATGGACCCGGCAGTGTCCCCTCTAATCCAGGGGAAGGCCGATAAGGAATTGGGAGCCCCTCTCTAGGACTCCGTTGTCACTGGTCACCTGCCCCTCCCCCCCTATTCTTCTTGCTATGACCTTAACCATAGGATGGCTGACTGGGCAAAATCCTTTAATAAGAGATCTCAGTGGCTGTCAGGCTCATCCTCTGGCTTCAATACTTTCTGCCAACTGGTGGGTCTGGGCCAGGGACCTGTAAAGTGAGTTTTGTGCAGTTCTGATTTCAGCAGAAGGGAATTCCTCCCCCTCACAGCAGCTATCAGTGGGGTTTGGTCCATGCATAGCAGGGAGCAGCAGCGCTCAGTCCTATCTCTAGCTGGGTGTACCGGTGACCTGGGACCATACAGGAGAATATTAGGCTGCCGGAGGAGGTCACAGCCCCAGCACAGGGAGATCGGATATTGTATTGCGTCCCGGGCACATAAAGGTGACAACGGGATTTTCAGGAGAAAATGTTTGCAGCCAAGCACTCAATCACGTGACTCTGTGTGTGTCGGGGCACAGCCCCGCCCACTGCGAGGAGATACTCCTGCCAGAACCCACCCCTATGCTGTGTTGGTACATTCCGCCCCGTCACACCTTGTCTATACAGTGGAGGGAAGAGGCGCTAGGACGGAACCAAAGATGCGCGGGGGCCTAGGGGCTGCTAAAGCGGCGGACCAGGAGGTGCAGGAGATCTGTGACCGGGTGAGTGAGGCGGCGGCGGCATAATAATTCCCCGGGGGGGGGGGGGAGGTGAAGGTGGTAGGAAGGGGCAACATAACATCCCCGGGGCTCCGACACAAGTGAAGGGGAGAGGGTCACGTGACAGGCTGAGGTATGGGGCCAGCGTACGTGCTATCTGCATTGGGGGTGGGGCTGTGTGTAGATGTACAATGTATCTATATTGGGGGCGGGGCTGTGTTTGGATATACATTGTATCTATATTGGGGCGGGGCTGTGTGTTTGGATATACATTGTATCTATATTGGGGGCGGGGCTGTGTGTTTGGATATACATTGTATCTATATTGGGGGCGGGGCTGTGTGTTTGGATATACATTGTATCTATATTGGGGGCGGGGCTGTGTGTTTGGATATACATTGTATCTATATTGGAGGCGGGGGGTCAGAGGAACCTCATACGTGGCCCCTCCCCCGGTGATAATACAGGACGCTGCGCCGCGTCTTAGGAGGCGATATTGGGGTGCTTATCGATGTGTCTTCTCTTCCAGTTTAAAGTGGAGGTGGAGCAGAAATCCGGCGCCAACTTCAACACTTTTCAGGCCGTCGAGTACAAGACTCAGCTTGTTGCCGGAACAAACTACTAAAGCACATTTGGTCAGTAGGGGGCAATTGGTTCAAATCAATGAGGTCTTCCTCTGCTGTCTGTGTCCCCATTGGGCATCAAGACGGATAATGAGAAGAAATAATATAATAAAAACCTGATGAATGGA